CCAATTCCCCAGTGTATGCCTCGTGGTCTAGGTCAACCAGCGCTGCCATACACCACGGAGCGGGGGTCAACTGCTAAGCCACGCCTACCCCCGCTATTTAAGACCTGACCTCGTGGTGATCTGCCTCTCCTTCTACCAACACCAACCAGCCAGCAACACCTCCGCCTGCCTGGCGGTCCTCTCTCCCGCTGGCGAGCATGGCGACCCACAAGCTGTCCTTCTCTGAGCGTCCTCACCAACCAGCTCTCTCTACATCACGCTTGTAACCATGTTGCCTTCCCAGCACCAAGCTGCATTGTACATCCAATACAACATGTATATAGAGAGCACATTGTGAGTTTCCTTTCTCCATCCCATCCTGAGTGTGAACCAAAACATCTCATACCCCACAAATGGTGACTCCCGGAGATTCGCACTCACACAGGATGGAGGAGAAACTGATCACGCTCCCAGTCTTCAAGCAACATGGAAGACTGGCTTATCCACCCAGAAGCAGACACCAGCTCCTCTTCCTGCCCTAAGCACCACGTCCTACCGACCCCAGCACACCCGTCCTGCCTCAGACGCCGACCCCGGCCCAGCAGTAACCCCTGCCGCCCTTGATGCGGCCTCTGTTCCTGAGTGCGGACACACACACCCCTCTTTTCTCCCCCAGGTACTCCCTGCTAATGTCCTGCACCCTGCTGCTGTCGTGGACCCAGCTGCTGTCACGAGCCCTCATCCGTTTCTGCTGACGCAGCCCCTGCTCCTGACCCAGGCCCACACACCCCAACAGGCGCATCTGGCGACTCTGTACCTGCCGTAAGGGAAGCACAACATTCATCGCCTCCACACACACTTATTCTCCCTCTCTACTCCCACAGATATTGTGTATCTAGACAGTTGTATCCAGCGACCGGCTCATCCACGCCATCGCCGTTGTCTCACATGAGGCATGCACCGCCCGTTCTGCCTCACATGTGCTATGCAACCCTGCAGACAACAAGTCTCCTACACCGCCTGGAGGGAAGGGGGAGTATTGTAGTGGAATTCTCCCCTACAAACGCTGTTTGTCGCTGCCTAGCCGACCCCACCAATTCCCCAGTGTATGCCTCGTGGTCTAGGTCAACCAGCGCTGCCATACACCACGGAGCGGGGGTCAACTGCTAAGCCACGCCTACCCCCGCTATTTAAGACCTGACCTCGTGGTGATCTGCCTCTCCTTCTACCAACACCAACCAGCCAGCAACACCTCCGCCTGCCTGGCGGTCCTCGCTCCTCCTCCGCCTGCCTGGCGGTCCTCGCTCCTCCTCCGCCTGCCTGGCGGTCCTCTCTCCCGCTGGCGAGCATGGCGACCCACAAGCTGTCCTTCTCTGAGCGTCCTCACCAACCAGCTCTCTCTACATCACGCTTGTAACCATGCTGCCTTCCCAGCACCAAGCTGCATTGTACATCCAATACAACATGTATATAGAGAGCACATTGTGAGTTTCCTTTCTCCATCCCATCCTGAGTGTGAACCAAAACAATCTTGAACCCCACACTGGACCAACAACCTGACCGCCCCCCCTCCCTCCCCCGACACTGACGCAAAAATCACCACCATCATACTTTTGGCACATACCCTAAGCAACGGTAACAGATCACTTTTTCTAAAACTGGCAATTGATGGTTTGAAGGCGAACGGCCTCCCTACCATAAACATTCCTGACTCCTTCAGAACCGGTCCCGACCTCATCTTCCCCACTGTCCCCATCTCCGACCGGACCAACATGCCCCTCCCCCCACCCAGAGAAACCACTGCAATCTCCCTCCGCCCCTCCACTTCTGCCATGCCCACACCTGACTTATCTCACCAATCTACCACTACCTCATCCCCCAGAGTAATCAGCCCAAAACCTCCCGGCCCCTCCACCTCGACCTTGCCTACACCTGACTTTTCCCACACGACCACGATGAACTCCCGGACCACAAACACCCAAACCAAACCCAATCCTCCCCTAACTCCTCAGAGTCCCAAGAATAAAATGGCAGCCCATCCCTCAACAGAAATAGTGGTCAAGACCCCTAGACCAAAGAGGAAGAACACCTCCCCCCTTTCTCCCTATACACCTGACAGCAAAAAAATTATACAATACACTCATCCAACCAAATCAATAATCAAAGTAAACCTATACGGCACTACCCCAAAGGAAACAGAAATCAACCCCGACACGAACCTAGCACACTCCCCTCAACCTCCCGACTCCCCCACACACAGTCACGTAACTGCCCTTCCCTCACTTGCATACACAACACTCATACCACCACCACGCTCACAGTCACTCGACAATTTAGACCTCATCCCTGCACCTCAGAATTTCTATCTTTAAGTACTAAACAGACCAAACACTCCCCTCCCACCTCCCTTGTATTAATATCTTCCCTATAACCACACCCAACAATTTCCCCCCAAATTAAAACCTAGCCTCTCCTTAACCCTCACCCAACGATTCCCACCCAACCTAACCAAATCAACCTAACCTCTCCTCAGCCCACACCCAACGATTCCCACCTAACCTAACTAAGCTTAACCTAACCTCTTCTCAACCCCACACCCAATAATTCCCACCCAACCTAACCTTACCTGACTTGACCAATTCCCTCCTCCCCCCCCTCACTCCAAACCCCACGCCACCAACTCAAACTCAAGACCACTCTGACAAAAAAATAAAAAATAAATAAATTAATAAATAACTAAACCACTCAACCTGCACTAACACTCCCCCTAACAATCCCCCCAAAATAAAAACCTAACGTACCCAGCCATTACTAGCAATTCCACACAAAATAAAAAAATAACCATTCTACCATTAACTAACCACACCCTATCACTCCTCCCAAAACAAAAACCTAACATACCCAGCCGTTACTAGCAATCCCACACAAAATAAAAAATAACCATTCTACCATTAACTAACCACACCCTATCACTCCTCCCAAAACAAATACCTAACTTACCCATCCCATACTAACTCAAATGACATGTACGTTTCCCTTAGCCAATGAGGTTGGTGAGAGTTCCACAGTGCCTACGCAAGCCCTCTCCCTCAAGAATGTTACCAACACTGTTTTATGGGCACCTCCCTTAGCCAATAAGGTCGGAGAGGTGTACCTAATAAAAACGGTACCAAATTGCAGACGACATTGAACGCCTCTCTTAGCCAATAAGGTCGGGGAGGGGTGCAATGTACCTGTACACAAACCCTCTCCCTCAAGAATGGGGCCAGAACTCACAATACCTGCAAGAAAGAGAGAATGCAATAATTAACCCAACTCTGCCAACCACTAACAAAACCTACAATCCTCCCAAAAGAAAAACTTAACCCACCCAACCTTACTCACAACCCCTCTTAGAAATCAATACCTACAATCCTCCCAAGATAAAAACTTAATATACCCGACCTTTCTAACAAGCCCCTTTGACCCTCCTAATAAAAAAAAAAGAAAATAAATAAATAAAATAAATAAAAAAATAAATAAAAACATATGACGCAATACAACTATTCATTAGCAACACAAAACATATCATTCCTAAGAAATCCTACCATACCATAAATTAACCCAAGAACCTCCAAAGCCCCCCTTTCCCCCTTTCGCCTCCCTTTTCCTCTCCTCTCCTCCCCCCTCCTCCGGACAACCGAACCATACCTGACCTTATAACATTATCCTAACCCTCCCTCTCTCCCCTTACATTTACATGCAAACACATACACACTCACACAACAACCCCCCTTAAGCAATTTTAATTCACCTTAAATTAACATACAACCGCCACCCCCATCAATCCCCAAACACAAACTCCCCCCCTCCCTCAACCAATCTCCAAACACAACATCCCCCCCCCGCCAGACAAAGCCACCTTACCAAAATCGACCTAACTCAAGACTGAAACCTAACAACCTATATCTCACTCTCATCTCCGTTCACAATTTGACATAGCTCAAATCTGCCTCCTGCCATTACTAAACAACTCTCCTACGATACACTCATCCTTCCTCACTACGAATACTTTGACATTTCAAACTCAAAGATTCAAAACTCTTCCTCCAACTCTCTCCATTTCTCTCTGACATAGCTAAAAGACCCACAACTCTCAGAACCTAATCAAACATACCCAACGTCTGTGACATCCAATTCTCAATAAAATTGACCTAACTCAAGACTGAAACCACTCAACCTATATCTCATTCTCGTCTCCGTTCATAATTTGACAAAAAAGCTCAAATCTGTCTGCTGCTATTACTAAAAACTCTCCTACGATACGCTCATCCTTCCTTACTATGAATACTTTGACATTTCAAGCTCAAAGATTCAAAAACCCTTCCTCCAACTCGCTCCGTTCCTCTTTGACATAGCTCAAAGACTTTACCTTCATCTTTCTCCAAACAACCCTACGACTAGCAAAATTTCCATATTTTCACCTTCTCTGTTTACTTTGATCGTGGGCTGCCTGTGCGTCCGTCCACCTGCGGTTCTTCCTACGTTTTGCCATCACTGCCTAAGCTAAGACGACAACCAGAGCAGCCGCGTTGGCCCTTTGCTTGCCCGGACCTGCTCCCGCCCTCCCCCTGCCTCGTCCTGATTGTGATTGCTGCACCCTCAGGGCATTTTGCCTACCCCCTCACGCAAGCGGTGTTTAGCCACTGCACCTGTTCTCTCCTTCTAAAATTCACTTCTATCCTCCCTTTATCCTTCCTCTGAACCTCCTTCCCCTCTGTCACTAGCATTTTTCTGTTCTGTTCTGGCTGTACGCTGATTGGCTGGTCGGCGTGCGGCCACATGCGGCCGAAGAAAGGAAGGTTGCGGACCCCTGACAGACAACGTACAGACGACCTCTCGCTTTGCACACCTTCGCCATCTGTTGATCCCGCGACCAAGTGTATGCTATGTGGCTTACCTGGTTGGTGATATGGAGAGAAGAGAGCATTAGCTCTGGTGTAAGAAGGGTACAGTACAAGGTAAAGTTCAGAAGTGGGAAATATAGGAGGAGGTTGACAGCATGTGGGCTATTCACCTTGCGGAGAGTTGGAGACGAGGTTTTCACCTTGCTTTCCTATTATAGTCCTTTGGGACTACAGTACATAAAATGACGTCACTGTGCCTTGAGGTTCCAGCTAGTATTATTACCGACTATTTAACACTCATTCCTGTCTTGAGTATACAGTCTTTGGTCATGATCCGAATAAATTGGAATACAGTATTTACCATTTCATCATCTGTATGTTACTTTGGTGATAGTTGTCGCGTTGTTGACTCATCACCACATGCACTGAGATCATCGTGAATACTCTTAGGTAACGTACTGCATATCACTTTGTTTTATATTCATTAAATTAAAAAAAACGTGAGATAAGAACATTGCTGTAAATAGTCGAGGATCATTTGTTTGTAATTAGCAGACCTTAGAGTGAAGATGAGTACCGGTGTCCACGACATGTCAGTGTGTATTGAAATTTAATGTTGGTAATTATATAGGACTAACCCGCGGGCGAAATTGATCGAAAACAATTATAAAAACTCCGGATTTTCATCGTTATATTATAGTGGATGCTTGTAGTTTGTGGAAATATGTTAAAAACGGATATATTTTTTTAAATAAACGGTTCTTAATATTTGTGGTTATGAAGAACATGTCATTATGTCGCATATGTGTTTGTGATGATGAGTGATTGATCATTTTAGTCACTCAGCAGACTTGACCAACACTGGAACTGGAGCAGGTTCAGATACTGCCCATTGCAGTATTTGCCAACAGTGTGTAACGGTAATTATTGACCACTGAATTAAGAATATGTACAACACTGGTCATTACAGTACCTCCAAGTGTACTATTACTGGATAAATAATATAATTAGGGTCGATTTAGGATAGTAGCCAGGTTTCGGTTAGGTTAGGTTTGGGGCAGTTAGCACCAGAAAGGAAGGTCTGAGTGATCATTCATTCGAATCACAACAAGAACCATAGGAAAAACGGTAATGTTTTACTTTCACACAAACGTGTAATCTTAAGAATTTTTGATCTTTGCAATTATTAGTTTAGACAATTCTAAGACACTTCGTGTGGTGGTACAGCGCTAACTCGCATAACTCTCACCAATATGTGAATGGTTTGAGCCTCGGTCCAGACACACCTGAGAAGGGTGTTATAGAGTGTGACGCTTACTACCAAACACCACAGGTTTCTTCCTGTACTAACACTGGATAGACAGCCCAAATGGCTAGTAAGCTCATAAGTAGCGAATATGATAAAAAAAATTGTTTCCCTCACAAATGACTTATACTGTATATACTTGGGGGGTCCAAAGAAGTGAGATGAGGTTAGGTTAGATCATTTTTCGGTAATTTCCGAGGGAAACGTCTTAGAAGAAAAGTGTCTTAGAATTGTCTTTACTATTAATTGCAAAAATAAAATTCTTAAGATTCCATAGTTGTGTGAAATAAAATTTTATCGGAAAAAAAATTTTTCTGAAAAAAATGAAACTGGCTACTATCATAAATTGACCATAATTTGTTGTATATCAGTTGAAATTGCAAATACAGTACGTACAAGTCACTTGTTGCCATTTACATGTACAATCAAAGACAAAAGTCATGTCGCAGTTTTGTCCGAAGATTAAAATTTAACTCGTGAAACATTATGAGAGCCCTACCACAAGGCAGTGCACCAAAAGTTTAAGCCCTTCGACATATGTTTTCACCAAATTTCATGACACGACTTTTGTCTTTCATTGTACATAGTAGAGTAGATATTATTAAAATGGGAAGACTGTGCATGAATGGTAAACTAGTATCTGTATGATTGTAATTATACAGTATTGTGAATGAAAGTTTAATTAGCAGCCAGTGTATATACAGTATTGTAGTACTGTACAGTACTTTATTTTCAATTTGCCATTATTCAACCACATCTTAGGGTTTGTGTCCTGTAAAAATTGGTTAGGTTAAAAATAAATACTTAACATTAAGTTTTTACTTATACTGTTCCTGGTATGTGTGTGTCACTAGAGAGCCAGGACTGTACTGTACAGTATTTATGCCTTTAGCTAAGCCACACCTAATTGGCTTTTTGTCATTAGCACAGTTTTGGGAATGTGTTGCATTAATTTAATGGTAGTTTCTTTCATAGGAATTTCATGATAATGTTTACTTTAATGCATAGAAGGCAAATCTAGTGGTTGAAAAAAATGAATTTTCTTAAGAAGCTGCTAGTAGGCCATGGCCTCTATCCATTTTGTGTATATGTAGAAGTTGTAAGTCCATAAAACTGTGAGGGGTAACTTTTTCGGAGTGAAAGTTATGAACTCTTGGAACAATCTGCCAGAGTGTTGTGACGGCACTGAATGTGAGCTTTTTCAAGACCAGACTTGACAAGCACTGGAGCAAGTTCAGATACGTTCAGGACCCAGTGTTTGCCCAGTACTTGCCAACAGTCCATAACACAAAACAAAGATGTGACCGATCGCCCAAGCGGCTAACGAGCCGATCAGTGGTGAAGAGGATAAAGTAAAAGTAATAGGTAATTAAAGAAAAAATTTAGGCACAGGATACAGGTACGGCAGCCATATGTAAAATTATGTCTATTGGTACTGCAGCCTAATGTGCATTTGTGGTGGGCAGACTATACAATGATAGTTACTTAGATGGCATTCTTTCTGACTAACCTAACCATCAACAACACAGCTCAGAACTTGCGAACATTGCGTAACAGAGACGTGACCAATTGCCTAAGAGATCAGAGGTGAAGAGGATAAAGGTAAAAAAAAAGGTAAGATACTGCTGCCGTACCAATATCCACTATGAAAAACTTACCAATGATGTGTCTAATTTTAGGAGGAATGAACTATACCTGTATACTGTAAAGTAGTGCTACTAAACTCCAGTGTACAGTATATTTATTGTTTTATGGTTTGTACCTGCCGTACTTAGTGCTTCCTTTAGTAATTTACTGTAGTAATATTGGATGATGGTTGTGTCCCTTAACTAGCAACTTGACACATTTTCCCCAAAAATATAAATTTTTTCTTACTGTTTGACCTAAGTTGGTTGCTAATTAATCCAATGTCAGAGCACTAAAAAATTAAATAAATATACTTTACAAAGGAAATGACATACAAGCTGTGACCCACCATATAAAGCCATATCTTATTTAAGCAAGAATTAATCAGAGAGTACTATATTGCCCTGCCAAATTTGAGTCTCTGGTACAGTACATGTACTGTATATCTGTGATTCTGTTGTACCCAAATTACTTAAAGTTAAACTTAGTACCGGTGTCATGCGGCAAATCTTCCGGTGCGATAAACCTTCTGGGCTCAGCAATTACTGATGTTCATAATCAACATCTAAGATGTATGATTGATTTGTGGTTGATTTGTGAGAGCTGAAAATATTAATAAATATGGTAACGGAAGGTTTTGAATGAATTTCCCATTATATCTTGGGCAAACTGACTACAGTATAAGGATGATATGAAACATACTCACTACCAAAGACAATGAAAGCACAAAGTGGCAGTGCTTTGAAGTCGATGGAAATTGTGGGGTAAGAACACAAAAAATGAACCAGTCAAACCCAAGGAATCCTGACCTAACCTGCCCTAACCTAACATTACAAAATCTTAACCAATGGTGGAGGCTGATCATGTGTGCACTGCGTGAAGAAGTAAACAATAAACACTTAAGCGAACTGGAGAACCACCAAAGTTGTATGAATAATTTTACTAACTTTATAATTAAATTTAATACCCAAAACTAAGCATTTACCCCGGAAGGTTTTGCGCTCGGAAGGTTTGTCGCACCACACGGGTACAGTAATAGATTTTGTCAGCACTTACTATACAGTGTATAATTTTCATAGGTTCGTTCCCCTTTCCTTGCTTCTTCAGTAATTCCAATGTGTTTTCCTTTCTCTACTACAGAATTGTACTGTACCAGATTTTGATTTTTAATTTTAAGAAAATATTTTTGTTAAAATGTTGACCCTACAGTACATCATCAGCCAACTGATAAATTTGTATTTTGACTTGTAAATATCCCCATAGCAAATACATTTGGCACAGTTTGATGTTAGTTATTGTTTAGCACATCATTTCTTACAGTAGATAACAGGAAACGACCAACCTAGCCTGATACAGTACTGTACTGTACAGTAATGTTCTATAACCTTACCAGCTATCTCTATTTTGCAGTCCTTTACTACCGAGTGTTATAGCTATATCAGCAAGTGATTAAGAAAATGATGGCCATGATTGTATGAAACAAATAGATAAGATAAATAAAATTTTGTATTCAAGGTTATATCTTTAACTCTACAATTGCCTGGTTTGTTGTGTTCTCCTCACTTATATACAGGGTGATTCAGCAAAGAGTACATTAAATTGGAAGATGAAATCCTTCGATAATTCTAAACTGCAATGTCTCAATGGTAAAATGTAAGATTCTGCAGAGTTTCCATGTTACAACACATTTAAGATGTATTAATGAGAATGAATTTGAAGTGAAATCCCCGTAGGTTTTTGTAATCATTTATTCACAGATATCTACAGTGTGACCCCTCTGTTACAACCTAAAGGAAATGTTCAAAGTTGCCCCCTTCTGCCTCAATGCAGGCCTGTACACGTTGTACCATTGATTGTCTGACGCGTTCCAAAATGCCTGGACTATGTTTAATTTGCCCGCACCTGTCAAGAACACGTGGGTAGATGCAGAATATGACATTTTACCATAGAGACATTGTGGTTTAGAAATCTCCAAGGATTTCATCCTCCAATTTAATGTACAGTTGGTCCTCACATTACGCGGTTAATGTAACCCTGAGGGTCCCGCGGAAAGTGAATAACATAACATATGGGATTAATTGAAATAGAGTCCAGGCCGATCCCCAAACTCCACTTTTTGACGACACACAACTATGTTGTAGTAAAAATTTTATCTTAACTTTATGATGGTATGAAAAAACAAGTAATATAGAAGAGGTTAGGTTAGGAAAGATAAAGGTTAACATAGGAAAAATAAAGAATAGGTTAAAAAACGAAAAATTTTGTGGAACACTTACGGTAGTAGAAGAGATGGGTCGGCATATGGGGATGGAGGCTGGTTCCGAGGCAGAGGGCAGATTACTGGCCCTCAGGTGAATCACCATTACTAGGTGAATCATCATCACTGTCACTTACAGTTGTCAGGGCTTCCCTGACAAATCCCTCAAAGTCAACTTCACTGTCACTATCACTGGCTTGGGCTGGCTGTGGTGGGTTGCGGGTGAAGAAATCTGTTATGCTTTGCTGACGGCTGGCGTTG